CAATTGAGTGTGTTTTGTATCGTATCGCCATTGTTTTCATCAGCATGTAACACTGTTCAGCACGACTGGGAGCATTGTCATACTACCGGTTGTTATAAATTGAAAGTGATGTAAAGTGGTGAATTGTTACTCGCTGAAAATTCAACCAAACTACATTCATAAAAACTCATAAAATAACTATGTCAATCAATGAACCTATTACAACGATATGTATCTCCCCAGCATAAAATTCACTCACTTCTAATCGCAGTTGATGGGATTTTATCGTTTTCCAGCATTCGCGTATGTATAAATTTCCATTTAGCGTCTCTGTCTAGACGTGATTTATGAACCGAATTTTCCGAAATATGAACGTTGTTGGCTTTTTTTCATGCGTTCGTTCGTTCGTTCGCTTGTTAGCTAAATTAAAGAAGAATAAAAATAAAACTCGTTCGCCGTACCAAAGAAAATATGTGAAATTTAATTTTCAGAATGTTCTCGTTCGATGTAATTTACCTACTGTTTTTCTTTCGTTCAATTTAATTTCAGCGATAACAGCGCGTGTGTGCAATGCACGTCTCACCACAACCTTAAACAATTCGAATTTATGAATTTTATCTAAACTACGGCGATGTTGTTTTTATGTTCGGCATTTATGCAGCTTGCAGTTTTCAGTGTTCATGCAAGACAAAAAAGCATACACAGACAAACACACACATGCGCCACGAATTGAAAACAAATACACCAAATTAATAGAAGGTAATAGAATTCAGTGAATGTGCTGCGAGTAAGTTTTTAGCGATGGATCTTATCTCTCTTATGTTATTTTATGTGTGCAGTTTTATGGCGCACTGGAAGAATGCACATTCAACCGAAAGAGAGTGGAGAGGATTTAAAAATAAAACAACTCTGACTATAAAAACTCAGCGAAATATGGTTTTAGACGTCTAATCGCACAACATACCATTGTTAAAGCATCCAAAAAAAGTTTAGATAATCACATTTCGAAGCTCTCTTTCTCTCCTTCTGTCTCTTTGAATTCTTTCATGTGCTCATCTAATCCCCTCCATCCAATTAGTAATTTAATTTCAAGCATATTTTTTGTGAAAAAAAAAAAAAAAATTTGATGAAGAAAATGGCATCAAAACCATCAACGTGCAAGTAATTTGAGAAACATCAAGAGTGTTGTGCGCTTCCAATGCAATGGAAACCGCACGGAAATATCAATATGGTTTTCCGGCTTCTTTCTATCGTCTATTGTAAAATGATGTGAGTTTTTGAGTTCGGATTTTTTTTTCACCAGCTTCTGAAAAGTTGCGCTTTTTTCCTGATTGGCATGAGTGAGTCTTTGTTTTGTTAGTCTCGTGCTGCATTCAAAGCATTCACAGAATCACATCCATGAAAAATGTATTGTGTGTATTTATTGCAAATTTTCGTTTTATTCACTTTGCCATCCGACAAGGAACATCAATGGAGAAAATAAAAAGTGCCTCAAATTCAAACAATAGACAATGTTTTGTCGCCAAGGAACGCATAAACAACAACCAGCGAGAGAAAAAAAAACCGAGTGTCGTTACATCCATATGAAATTGAATTCCGTCGTCTCTTTACAGTGTTTGCAGTTTTTATTCCTTTGATGCGCGCCACCAAATTCTAAATAGGCATTTTTTTTACGTTAAAAAAAACAATAACATCGAATGCTATTCAGCGGAGATGTTTTGTTGTTCTTTTTTTTTCATTTGATTCCACACATATTTTTCTAAAAATGCCAGATGCTTGCGCTGTCTGTGTTTCGATTCCCTTTCTCTAAATCGCCTATCGAACGGCACGTTGACTTTTTCTACGGTTTTGCTCGACTTGTTTGTTCCGGGATTCTTTTTCAATTCATTTGGCGGCTGGTGCAGCCACAATTCATTCACCCTTCCACCTGTTCGCATGTACACAGTTTTTTTTCACCACTGCCGCTTAAAAGAAATTGACATGAATAACTCGTTTATCGCAACAAATGAAATTCTTTCAATGCAACAAACCATACAACTCTTTCGCTTATTGTTGTCTCGTTGTTATCACCAGTTATTTGTTTTGCAATGCTTTGTTGGCCAATCTCTCGGTTGGTTTTTCTAAAAAAAAAAAAAAACGTCAATGAAGGCGCCAATATCAAAGATTCTTCTTTCCCTTCTCATCGATGTTTTTAGAAGTAAAAAAACGGACTTTATTCAAAGGACTCATATTTTTAATGGGGAAGCCATTCATTGTATCAGGTGCAGACAAAGATGAAACAAAAAGACTGAAAGCAGATGGAGTTGAATAACGGACAGTTCTTTGATGATTGACCGGTTCTTTTTGGTGGAATTTGAGTGATTTCGAAGCATATTTTCAAAAGGCAAACATTGTTCAAAGACCAAAATAAATGGAAGCCTGCAGAAACTCTTTTATCACACTAAATTGAAAACTAAGAACAGAAAAAAATGTGTTTGTGTTTTCGTTCGCCAACTGAATGATATAGGTAATAAATCATTTTCCAGGTTATCGTTAAAGTTGAATGGGATAGATGTCGTGAAATAACCATCATCGAGCCACACACCGCAACAACAATCAATTTAATCGCATCGTGAAGATGAACTGTACGGCGGAAGCAAAGTGACGCTAAACGACATCAACGCAAAACCACCCATAAACACATTATTAATATAAATCTTCTCATCTTTTATTCAGACGTAAATACAATTTTTGTCACCATATTCCAAATACTCCCCAGCAACAACAAAAAAAAAAACAGCGGCACATATGACTTGATGATGATGATGACTGTGCGACGTCTGCAGTGTATTTCTTTTGTCATTGTTTCAAAATCTACCTTGTCTAAGGCATGGTAATACTATTCGATCACACATTGTATGGCAAATATATTCGCGGAGAGATGATAATGTATGCTCACATGTCTCTAATGTCAAATAGCTTAACTCTAGTCGCACTACTGCGTCATTGACACTGGCAAAATATGTGTGTGTATGTCTTGTCATAACTTATTGCATATATTTTAACTTTAGCAATCTTACGTTTCGAGTGACTACATGCTTTCTACCGTATCGTCGTCATATTTTATATTTACTGAATTTATATTTTAATATTTTTCATATGGAAAGCGTGCCAGGTCGGGTGTGTGTGTGTGTTGAGACGACTGGATCAGGGTGTTTTGTAAAATGCTGCGAACCGATACAATTCCTCGCTTAAAATTTATTCACACGCATGCAACATGAACAACGCAAAAAAAATATGAATGAGCACACATGTGAACGCTGCTTGCCCTTGATAGTTGTTTTTTTCGACTTTGGCAAGTGCTTTAGTGCGGGCTGAACGAAAAATCTGTTTAAATTTATTATACAGCTGAGAGAAAAAATAGCGAACATGAATATTTTCACAAATGTTGCTCGTCGTGAAGTGAAACGATTTAAGAAACACCAACGGATGCCACGGTACGCACATGAAATATGCCGTGACTAATAATTTCTTCAACGCATTGAAAATCGCGTAGACACGATACATATATTGTAACAGCTCGACGGAAATGTTGGTACATTGATTGTGGGGCTGAAAACACAAGGAATACCACTATTCAGAATGGAGCCGACGAGATCTGAGGAAGTGAAACGATATTAGTGCAGTGGGTTTTTGCGCATAAATGGATGCTCACGAAGAATCGGGTTAGATTGATTTCGAAGCAAAAATGCATCGTATTTATATATATATGATCGTACACGACATAAATTCGCTTAAGATATGTGAACGACACTCACTTAAATCACGAATCAAATGGATTTAAAGATGCATCTTCAACCTTAGTCAAAAATGTATCGCGAAATAAAATAAAAAGTCTTAGTGAAAGCCGAACTTTTCCACCAAAATAGTATTTGTATTACACCGACTCTGGTGATGATGAATTGACATTCGATTTTACAGTAAGCTCGGAGATCCATGGGCCTGGGGGTCAGTTTTTAATCGAGCACCCGACTAGAAATTTTAAGCACAACGTAAAAAGTAAAAAGTAAATAAATCTTAAATTGAACTAAACATTTCGGACTTCAATTATTTCTCTGGTAAATAATAAAAAAGAGTGGACTAACGATTTGGTCTACACAGAAACAAATACTCTAACGCTTACTCGCACTTGAGGTGTTAGCAGAGAGTCTACCCTTCAAAATGAGTTACGCACTCTATTTTAGTGTTAGAAGAGATACATATGTAGTCATATGTACGTTGAACGCATGCGGCTATGACTACACGTGTATTTCTTCTTTCACTATGATGTGTTCACTTGGATGAAATTAACACAAAAAATAGAGTAAAATAGAGTGCGTAGCTCATTTTGAGGGGTGGACTCTCTGCTAACACCTCAAGTGCGAGTAAGCGTACTCTAATTTGTTTCTGTGTACAATCCAGTGTGTCCATAATATATAGAAATAGCACTAAATAGTGTCGATATCTATACTATATCGGTCCACTATATATGGAAAATATTGCCGCACGGCACCGTATCGCACGATCGAAGTGAGTGTAGACGGGAAAAATCACAAGTTGCCGTGCGGCAGTAGAAAGAACTGTGTGTATGCGTCAACATTTTTGCCGTCCGCACTCACTTCGATTGTGAGTTACGGTGTCTTGCGGAAATATCTTCCATATATAGTGCACCGATATAGTATAGATATCGACACTATTTAGTGCTATTTCTATATGTTATGGACACACTGGTACAATCCCATGTTTTTGTATATGAAATACACATATTGACATATTGAACGTACCCATTTGAGGTGTCAAACAACTTAGTACTCAAAACCCGTGTGATTTCTCATTTTCCATGAAAATGAATATTTCCCAATATTCGATGAACAAGCATTTTTTTTTCGAATTAACCTCAACATTCTTTTTAAACAAAAACTACATTAAAAAGCAAGCTTTTTCAGCAAAATGAAACCTACTCGTTAAATTTAGCTATTTTGTCGATTGATGAAAGAAGCAAGTCAATTTCTCCTGTATGTTTATTTGATCTTTATGAACAAACTAATTTTAATGGACACACATATGTTCTGAGCGTTAAAAGTTTATTCTAAAAAGCAAACAGAAACCAGATACTAAATTCAATATTATGGCATGATGCATGTATTCAAAGTTTTTTCTGATGTGAATGCGTGAATGGTGGGTTCGTGGTTCGACATAGATCTTAGGCTAACTCTATCCGTATTCATCCCATGCTTATGCTGCCATACGCACCGCACGTAGCGTGAAACGTGACGTACCAGGCGACCTGCCCATGAGGTACACGCGCGGCCCATCGACGGCGTCGCTTCCACCGAGATAGGTATAGTCCTCGCCGGGGTGATAGAAGCCTTTGGGAGCATCTGCATTGCCGGGGCCGAACTCGATCGCATCATCGCCAACCACGTAGCGGCCGTAGCCAGAGAGCAACTGGTGCACACCACCGTTAATGGGCACGAGGCCTTCGAAGCGTCCACCCGGCTGGAATGCAAGTTCGAGCGACCACGTTAGACGAGGCCCCTTGGTGGAGATGACTATCTCGACGCCGTCCTCAGCGAGAACGACGTCAACGCGTGTGTCGAGGCCGACTACCTCTGTGCTACGTTTGCTAAACGCCATCGCAGCGGCGAAGCGCCCTTCATCCTCAAGTGCGTAGATACCGTCCTTCCGCCGGTGCTCCTGTTCGAGGGGTAGGTAGTACATGCCCGCAACGTGCTCAGTCAGCGTGATCACGTCGTCATGCACGTCTAGCCGATCGGCGCGGAACGGCCCTAGGCCAAAGAAATCCCGAGATAGCCGTGCCGAGACAAGTTTGACACGCCCGGCGGAAAGTTGGAGGAAGGTGGGGTTGTTTGACAGCCCTGAACGAATGCGCCGGAACCTGGGGTAGTCCGAGCCTCCAAAGATGACGAGGGTGCGGCGAGCGTTTGCATCTACGAGTAGACCGCTGTTGTTCCATCGCTGTCGTCCAAAGATCGGGGCAACAGAGGGAGGGAGCACCCAACCAATCTGCGGATTCATGAGCAGCTCAAAGAGAACAGTTTCTGGGTCCACGATACCACCTGCGAGGGCTCGTTCAGCACCCCAGGCGAGAACACCACTGCCCATTTCGATGGCAAACCGACGGTAGAGCGTGATGAATGGAGCGATAGAAAAGTACGAGTCCATCTGATCTTGCCGGCGCGAGTGCACTGTCTCAACGGTTCCGTCGGGGCGGATGAGCCCGATGAAGGCTTGCAGATTTTGCGAAACGATCGCTCGCAGGTCTTCGCGTCCGAGAATATCGGCCACCGCCGTGAGCGATGGGTTCGACACGTATGCGGCGTAGTTGGCGCTACGCTCCGAGTACATTCCATCATCTTGGATGTCAATGCCCTCAGCCAGCCACTCTTCGGCCCGCCGCTTAAGACGCTTATCTGGACGGTAGCGATGGATGCGCGCGAGGGCCGCCGCAAGCTCCCAACGGTGGTTTGGTGTATGCACCCCACCAGCGAGCATGGCTGGGATGGCCCGACGGACGATTCCGTCGAGGGCAGATGCAATATCTGCGAGAACACGATCGCTGTCCTTACATCGTATCAGCTCTAGCGTGTCGGCAACATCGTTGATTGTGAAGGCCGAGTCGGGTGCTGACTCCACGTTGTCACCGCCCATGAAGAGCCCTGAACCAACCTGCAGCTTAGCCAGTTGCGCAACGAGCTGCCCGGCGACAACCGCTGTATCCTCATCACCGGCCAAAGCGCTGTCAGGCGCAAGCACGACGCCAGCAAATAACTTCACGCGACGCATAAGCTCTCGGTGAGTGAGAGAAGCTGTTGTTTCGTTGCGTAAACGTGCAGCTTTTGCATCAGCTGCGTTCACAACTGCGGTGCGATAGGCAGCGTCAGTCACTCCGAAAGTGGCCTCTTCACCGTTTATCACCTTGAAAAGAGAAAACAAAATTCCTTATTGACTACAATAATTCGAAAATAACAAGTCACTTGAATATTTGCAAAACAAATTTAGTTTATTGTTATTAAAATATTGAGTGCATTTTGAATGACAATTGAGCAAGATAAGGAACTGTACTTTGTCTATTGATTATTAAAATTAAAGTTAGATAAAAATATTTAAGAATTTTACTTGAAGTATATCTATCTACCTGAGCGAATACCGAGAAGATTGCAAGAACTAAGATCGGTTTCATCTTAAGACTCGATAGAACACTGTATACAATATAGCTATAATGCTAATGATGATCTTTGGCTTTCAACTAACTGCTTATATACTCAATTTTTGATACGAATAAGCCAATTTCATTTTTCTCGACCCACTCTAGTTACACGCGCTGGGTTTTTTATTTAATCATTGATAAAATTATAATACGTACTGTTTAGCAACGATAACAGATTTTTTTCATTGTTTTAAAAAAGTTATCTCAAAATAAACATAAAGTTATCTCCAGCGTTATCAAACTTGTTCAAGAAAAATGTAGATCGGTTAGTATTCTAGGCTTTTCAACTACGTTTTTTTTTTTAATTTAATGAAATGAAGTACATAAATTCTATTTAACATACAGAAATCAATAAAACACCATTATTTGCTAAATAGACTTATTTAAAGATTAATGATAAGTATATTTTGCAAACTCAAAATAATGGTGTTTTATTGTTTTTTGTATCGTACGTGTTTTTTATTTGATCATCGATAAGGTTATAATACTTTTGCATCGATAAGATTATAATATTTATAAGCAACGAATGCGTCATTGATATAAATGCTGTAGACTTGTTTACAATCGCTATAAACAACTATAATAGTTGTAATCACTATAATCTTTTCATTTTATTTTCGGTTGACTCACACATCTGCAAAATAAAAATAGTTCTGGATAAGCTTTCTTTTCGTTCGACCAAATATATATGAATACATGGATACTCGCCCATATGTGCTAATCGATAGCCCATGAATAAAGGTTTATACCAATAAAAAAGAATTTAATATTGTACAATATGTTTGTTGTTCAAATGGCGAACGTCTGAATTTATTCCAAAGACTTTCCATACATATGTTAGTTGTTTGAACTCTCTTAATATGAGGTAGCCAATTTGGTCTAGTGGTATCTATTCTTCAGCATTTCAATCATAAGTTTTGAAATCCATAGCAACAGAGACATCTCTCAATCTGCGTCATCTCTGACTATTTTGAAGATTTTTAAATGTGGGCTTCATTACAATACTTTTCCATACACACTACGTGTGAGCGGAGAAGTAATATTCGCGAGAGAGGAGATTTAATGTATGTACATGCGACTAGACTTGTGCACACATCCTCTGTAGAAACGCAATTTTAACTCGTGCAAGCAAAATTTACAAGAAAAACAAATAAATTTTGAAAGATATTCATAGCAGCTGATTGAGTTGGAAAGAGTTTCGTATTTGGAAATGTATAATAGAACATGCATGGAAATCGCACACCGCGACACAGTCCTAGATAAAAGCTAATATTTTTGCCATAAATCAAAATTGTTCCCTTTATCTTCTTCTGCGGGAGAAATGCTGGAGATACATGCATTCTTATAGCGTTTTACGAACAAAATATTCGAAATATAAATTGTATATTCATTGATATGCATATTATGATGATTCAAACATGACTTTTTATATTGACTCAACTGAGTTTTACGCTACAACGTTATTGAAGTCGTCAAGTAATTTTCCAAGACAAACCGAAATATAATCGAGGACGACGAAGGTCAAAAATGGCTCAAGTTCGTTTACGTTTTATGTCGAAAACAAGTTTTGGCAAAAATATTTACCGACTTGTGAGTTTGCTCAGGTGTACACATCTGCACCGAAACATATATGTATGTTTTTTGTGAAGCTATTTTTATTTATAATAAAATTAAAAAAATGTCTCATATTTTAAGTCAAACAATTATATGGAGAATATTATGCATATATTTTAATGAGTCTTTTCATATCGTTCACTGAATTAAAAAGATTAACATGTTTTTATTAATTATATTGTTTTTCATTTTATCAATTTTTGTGCTTGTTGAGTTATTAAGTAAGTATGCATTTGTTCATTATGTGAATTTGTGAGTCTTCATAGAACATAATTCTCCCGCGAATTTCAGGTGACAATGAAAATTCAAATACTGAATCTGAGGGGACTCCAATTCAAGACTTTAAAATCGAACCAAATCTTTTTGTTGACGTTTAAATATCACATAAAGAGATTATTTCAAGAGGAGTTTTCTCTTAGGGGACAGCACTGGTATTTTATCATCCATTCTCAATACAATTCTTAACCAAACTCATAATTTGCATATTTTTACCAACCAATTGTCAATCTATAATTTACAAAAAATAGGTCTCATAAGATCGCTTCATTTTTTTATAAATACATATAGTTTAATTTATTTTTTTAAGTGCCAGTTTACACTTAACAAAAAGACATTTATTTTATTTGCCACTGATAAATTTGAGCCAAAAAAATTGTCAACTAAACCCTAAACAGAGACCAGTATTGTTCAAAATTAAATTGAATAAACGTCAAGAATTCCGTAGAACTTTATTAACATTTCATTGCATACAATATGTTTCAATTGTAAATTATGACTAATAAATAACGATAAATAATTTTAATTTTTTCTGTAATTCCAATGATTTTATTTACTTCGAAATGAAAGATGAATAAAACAACAATTGTTGAAAAGATGGAATAAATTTTATTCAAATTGAAATTTTATGAATAATTATAATTGTAATTAGAATAATTTAAAAGTAAAAATTATCAAAACAAAATTCCAACATCCACTATATAAAGATAGTCAATAGATCATAGAAAATCAATAACAACTCGTGTGTTTAATAAAAACGTAAAATTTGTAAGAAAAACTAAAGTTACAATGAAGTTTGCTGCGTTATTATTTTGTGGCATCACCTTAAGCGTAATTATTTTGATTGGTTCACAAAAATTGTAAGAAAAAAAAAACAATAATTTGAAATTCATTTTAGCTTTTTGGTTCGGGGTTCAGTATGTTCCCGGAACACTTAATAATGGGTGAAATTCAAAAAGAAATGCAAAACATTGGCATGTTATCACAAGCGATTATTAGCTTCTCGGATTGGTTTGATTTTAGGAGTGTGGAACAAATCCAGGCATGGTTGAAAGGAAATCATCCGGCAACTGCAAAGAAACTGCTTTCATCGGTTGTTTCAAAAGTCGATGAAGTCCTGAAAGAAAATATGAAGATACAACAAGAAGTAATTTCCGATTCTCGACGTAATGTACAAGCCAATGGGAACAGCGCCCAAGTAATGGCATCTCTAAATCAAGCATTTATGAGTGGAAAACTCATGGGCAAGTCGACAGATACTTTAATAAAAGTGTTGAAGATTGTAGGAGAAATGCATCTTGATGTGTTGGACCTTGGAGTTAAAGTGAAATCATTCGAACAAAATTACACCGATAAAATGTTCAATAATAGCTTAGATGGTGTACGAAAGGGATTGTTTCAAATTGGCAAGGCCACAGCAACTAAAACGGCACCAAGTGAAAAAGAAATCCAAAATGGAAGCGCTTTAATTCAACAAACTATCCTGACACCATTAACAAATTACCTTAATAACAAGGAAAAGAAGGCTGTTATGCAACAATATGTCAAACATATCCAAGAGGAATCCAAGACTCTTAAAGGCTTACTAGAAGCAAAACGAGATCAAATTATGGCTCTTTTGTAAAAAAAATTATAATATTTTGATGATTTAAATAAAGAAAATTATCAAAAATTGAACCTTATTTCATGGATTTTTCCGTATACTTGATGTTTGTTCATACTCTAGAGCTACAGTGAATCAAATTAGAAATTGAATGAGCACACATTTTGAATTTATTATTTTTTGTTAACAAACACCAATAAAAAGAGGTCTTCGTTACTAAATAGATAGAGAAAATTAAATCAGCTCAGGTATTTGGTAAGGTTTCACCGGTTCAAGCAAATCTTTTGATTTATTGGTGAAAAATCCATTTAACAACGCATTAACCACATAAACCATCAATTTGATAAAAAAAGCCTTAAATAAATAATTTCAAGTATGGATTGTCTACACATGAATCGATATGAAAATGAGAACTATCGTCATATGCAAACGTTTGAAATGGATAAAGTTTTGCTATAACAGATTACGAATTGGCCGCAATCTCAGTTCATAATAATAATGCGGCATTTGCATAATATTGTTTTTGCCCTCATTTCGGCGATGAAAATTTATAAATGCAAATCTCTTTATGGGCTACTCTTGATGGAGTCGTTTTGCATGCTGGCGTTTATTGTCCAAAGATAGTGGAATTCGTATTGTCGATGATATACGTATAATAATCAGACAAAATAATGTATCCTATCTTCAGCATTGTCTTTTATTCTTTGGCAAAATCTGAATGTCATATCTTTGCATTTTACGGACTTCCTTCATTTTTCACTGGTTCATTATTATTATTTTTTTTCTTTAATTTTTTCAGTGCTTTTTGTACGCTCCAAAGATGTATAGAGCATTTAAATGACAAAAATCCGTTTTTCGCCCGAATTATCTTCGTGCACAAAACCCAAATTCATTACAATCGGTTCACCGATTTAACCAGAAAATAAGTTGGGTGGAAGACATGAGGGTAGAAACGCAAGTGTGCAAAATTCGAAATGGTATAATTTATTTGCATTAAAGCCGTTTCGAAGAAGACACAACGAACCGGAGTGCCTAGTACACACTATACAAGCGCATTTCTCCGCTTCATATAGCATTGGTAGAAAACGCTTGAAAAGAATTCGGTTTGGTCGGAAACTCCAAAAATCACAGACAATTTATATATCTTTAACCCACTCACAAGCCATTCACATCCTGACCGAAAAATTCATTAGCTTCAACTTTGATTTGTAATCAACAGCACCCGTAGCACAAGCATCGATGAATTTTTGAATGCGTGTGTGTGATGCCATTATCTTCATCTGCACCTGCCATTTTCGTTATCCCACATAATTTTTCCGCACACACACAAACACACAAGTTGTGTGCCTTTAATGAGTCTACGAATTTATCAACATTATTATCGTCCTTTGAAAATGAGACTATTAATAAATTTCTTTTAGACAAAAACGCCTAATTTCGTGCATTTGTGGAGTGTTCAACTCGTAAATTTTAAGATTTAAATTTTGAATATTATCAACGAAAACTTCTTCAAATGACATTTAATACCGTATCAGCCCATCATATCCATCGTCTGTTCAACACTCTTGGAAAAATCCACATTGAATAGTTTTATATCTGGTGTTGCGGCGGTGACTAACTCACCTTTCACCTCTTGTCGAATGGTGCCGAACAATTCTCATTGGCAGTTATATGCGTGATGGTTGATGGTTTAAATGAAGATAAATTACATTAAATATTGGATGATCGGTTTTGTCGTCTCTCCCAATGATTTTCTGCGAAATGGACTTGAGCGGGGAATTGGTAACGTCGCGCCAATACAATACGTCATTGGCATTGTTTTCGCACAAAAGTTTTAACTTACATCGATGAGTGTATCGTCAAATGTCCAATTTTCAAAATAATGCACTCTGAATCCCCAGAGAATGAACGATGATGGCATTTTGTGTGAGGGAAAATATCGATGAGTCAATCTGATGGACGCCCAAAAATTTTCATGCGACGTAGAAAACATTCAAGTTTTAAAAATTTCACAAGAAAATTGCATTTATTTGAAAACGCCGTTTGATACATTGGCCATCTGCTCCGTGTGTCTGCCTTTACGGGCTAAAAATTTGATGGAAAAGCAAAACTGAGAGCAAAGAGTGTAAATATTATTTACTAAATAACAAAAGAAAATTGCGAGAAAAAAACTCACAATGTTGAAAGATGATGTGGATTTGAATCCATTTTCTCAGCAAGAGAGAGAAAACAAAATGCTTGCAAATATTTAACAAAATTGCCCGTATTTTGGCAATCAGCAAGTAATTTGCCAAATATTTGCAGAGCATTGAGTTGAAATGAAATCAGAAGTTTCTTTGTTCAATGTAGAAAATGTTTGCTTTTGTTGTGTTCGTGTGCTCTCTCTTTTTCTCTCTTGATTCGGTGTCGATTTCCATTGCAAGCGATATTCGGCGCTGAAAATGAGAAGAACTTGAATGGATTGAAGAGAGCAAAGGAAGCAAAAATTGAAATCTAATACGTTGCGCGTTTTTCGGAACAAGATCAAACACTTTGATTTGTCAAAGGGTTTATTTTGTAAATAAATACACCATTTTCATCGTTGAATAGTTGGCAAAATGAAAACGTTTTCGTTTTTCATTTGTTGTTGATTAGACGTAGTTTTTGCTTTGCTAGGCCATTTTCTCCGTTTATTAGAACAAAAAGAAGAAGAAAAAAATGCGCATTCCTCAGCAACCGTACACAATAAATCATTTGCTCAGATCAAACGAGACAGAAATTGATGTTCATCGTTGTCTGAAAATCAAAAACCTTGCCAACGAAAGATTTGAAGGCCTACGGCGTACAAAGATTTACAGAAGCTTATAATGATAATATCGTTGTGTCTTCACCACACGCAGGAGATTGTTAACGACAGTCGACGTGAGCTCACATTCAACGTGATTTGATACTTAAAAAGTGCTTTTGGAATATGTGAGATTTTCAAAACAAACGTGCAATACGTTATCAAACACAAAAAAGCAATATCCTCAAGGGCTGTTGATGGGTGAAACAAAAAACAACAACGTACTCACATAAGAGATGGCGAGAGACAAAAGAACACGAAACACATTTGACAACGGACATGGTAACACTTGGTCAGTATTAAAGTGTCATTAAAATTTAATCATCAAGAGAATTTCGGTATATAAATAAACGATGGATTGTGAATGGGACAAACGAAGAACAAGAAACGTTGACAACAAGTCGTAAAATGACAACGAAAACATGTTTGCACATCTTCTCCACCGCCAGCAAGAAATCAAGTGGACATACGACGTGTGTAAATGCCGATGTGTCACACATTCTATCTAACAGCACATTTTGATGTGTGAATTCGAAGTGTGTGTGTTTTTGGTCCGCTACATTCAAAAACGCAAACGGTGTTTGTTTTTTGGCCGGTTGCTGCCGCTTTTTTATGGGTAACTTTTCCACTAAAACGCATAAGTGATTTTCATTGAATGACACAAACAAGTGTCGAAACTAAAGTAGTTTGAGATTAAAAAAGGTTTTTCTAATACCACTTGCAGCTAAAATCTGTCTTCTGCCAAATCTAAAAACATCATTGTTGCTGCCCACATGATTGATATACATTTGATTGATACATTTCAAGTGTTTTATTGAAGTTTCTATGTTTTCAATGAAAAATTCAGAAAGGTCTGTATCTAAATCCGGTTATTTATGCAACAATGACGGAGAATTATCCTTTTCAGAACAAACTAGTTGAACATATATCGACAAGCAAAACCAATTGAAGTGCGGTACTCACAGCAAACGGAGATGAATTTTAATTGCAAATATCGTGATTATGGAACGGGCGAATCATGAAACCTAATTATGTTTTTTTTTTAAATCCAATTATTTTCTTTGCTCGAAATAACTGAAACGTAAATCTCGGCAATCGAAGGTATCACCATTCCTTCCTACGTTTTTTTTTCTCTCTTGAATTGAAAGAATAAAAATGTGCAATAATAACGGGAAAAAAATCGTTCCCTCTCGCTAGCCCTCTCATTTAAAAAAGAATTACGCGAACCAGAGAGACGCGGCAGTTCTTAACCTAATTCAGCGTTGATTGAAATGGGAATTGTACAGCTGTAAGCAAGAATACGATGAGGAAGAATGCAGGCATTTTTTTTCTGTTCGCGTTGTTCATTGGTACTCAAGATAAAACGGTACTTCAGCTCATTCAGATGCTATTAAGCGTAATTTTAATGGGAGCAAAATGTAATCAAAATAACAACACACACACACACAAATCCCACAAATATTTTTGACTGCCTTTTTGATTTGCGATTCCTTCTGGGTTTTTTTTCGGTTGTTGTGTAGGAGAGACAAAAAAACCAATCTCATCAAAAATGCACCCAGATGTAAGAACGGCGCAAAAACAATTTCAACGAATTGCAGTAGCTGCTGCACGGTGCACAACTGACCATTTGATTTATTTGACACCCCACGAAATGAACGGCTCTCCGCTTTCAATAAAAACGAACGCAGATTCTGTTTTTTTGTATCAATATTCCGGTCGGAGATGCTTGTAAACACGTTGCGCCCGATGAATCAAACACAAAGCCGGAGTGTGAGAGAGAGAAAGAGAGTGGAAAATATGTTACCACAAACATGTGAATCGAATATAAATTTTCGGAAACCTCTGGGAACAATCGTCGCCGAACAGTTAAAATCGATTAGCCAAAAATGGAATATCGAGATTTTTGTTACATGTTCGCCTTTTTGTTCGGAACAACATGCATCCTTTAAGTGTTTTTTGATATAATTTATTATTTAATAAAATCGCTTGCACACATTGCTCCATTTTCAGTTTGTTTTCTATATTTGACCAAACCGAATTTCCAGCTACATATATCGGCGATAAACAAAAGAACCTTCAAACCGATTTGTTTTCAAACTGAAATAAACTACTTCGGACGATAAATAATCGTGACTTGATATAGATTTTTTTAAATGATTTATGCAATCAGAAGTTAAAATAAGCGAAAAATTACTATGATTAAACTGATTCCATTTGGGATTTTGTGGCTAGTTTTCGCAGTAAGTTCCTGCGGA